TACGGCGAGTGATCACTGATCAAATAGGAAGATCTCTCGCGAGTACCTGATCTAGATGACACAAGTATCTACAATCTCACTAACACAGGACAGGACAGGACAGGATCTTGTTAACGCCATTTAGCTTTCCAAAACGTGACACGACTATTCTGTAGAGATATCGATTTATTTATTGTTCGACGTCTTAGATTAGAATACTTATTCTATTGTAACTTGGTTTACCAATAATGTGTTCCTGTCTCGCTACATATTCCAACTAGTTTTAGTCACACGGTTGATCTATTGGTTACTGCAACAACGCACGTAACGTTGTGGACGTAGGTTCAAGCCCCCCTACTCCTCACTCCATTTCGTAAATTTGTTTAAATCTAAATAGATTTTTTAGATTATAGTTCGCAGGTTTGCTTGAAAATTATTTTCAGCAGTATTTCAAAACACTCTTTTTCAATTGCTATATTTTTTAATATGGCAATTGAAATAGTGAATATAATGAATAGTTTTATTTAGATGTGTACTATTCGCATAAACAATGGAAGTATTTGCTATATTTTTCTAAGTACCTTTTTTTAGTGATTGAGGTGAACAGTGATTCGTTATCCTGGCGGAATTTTAATATTACTACTACCCATTTTATATCCAGGCTTCCAGACTATGTCCAACATGTTTCAGAATAATTATAAGTTGATTAGAAAAATGTTGGACATGGTTATTACTCGCATTGCTACCATTACACCAACAAGCCCGTCGAATCTCCTTTGTTATCTATAAACACTTAAAACGGCTGAAAAATAGAAATAATGAAATAAATTTATTTGTAAAAAAATCAATGTAAACTTTTAGTATATTAGTGTTAGTAGTATTATCATTCTTAAGTAACTGTAGTGGAATAACTTGAGTAATTACCTAGTTATAAATTTGTGTATCTCGGTATTTCAATAAGCGATGGATGTACGTTGATGCAGATTAGTAAATGTAATTACTGTTGCATTACCCTCCCACCTTCTCAACCCACGGTTTCATCACACTCGGTGATTTGTCATAGATCGCGTTAGGCGCGTCACAATCAAGCGAGGAATGTAGAGGATCCATAAATTGATTCCTTGTGACTACGTGGATTACGGCTAGAATTGTTTTATAAGCGGAGCGGGAGCGACAAAGTGATAACGGAACACGGGAACTCATACTAGATACTATGATAGAAAAATGATATAAAAATTTCAAAAAGTAAACGGGCGGATCTACCACCATCATCCACCACTACCACTAACCACCATCCATCGTTGCTGGTCTAGTCACCTGAAGTATAAAGTTCGTTTTTCACGCATGTAAAATGGAACAATATAACTTTTAGTTTTCGTTGCAAAAAACGTGTTCTGCTTTTTTATATTCATTTATGACATTGTATAACTAAATTACTTGTTTTAAAACCCCTAACCTTTCAATGTATTTTACTTAAGAATACATTACACTAGGTATCCGAAATATCCTTAGTCTCAGTTATATAAAATCGCTATCTCTAAGCTTATAAACAATGCCTTATTATACTAACGAGTTATCATGAGTTCCTGCGACCAGGTCAGTATCGTGGGAGGAGGAAGTGTACTATATTGATGTAATTGACATCATCACTAATACAATGGCTCATCCGTACTAGATCGCGTTTAATTAGGCCCGTTGCTGCTCGTTTAATTGTTCATAATTTGACATCAAGGCCTGTTTATTACATGCACTGAGCCTGTGGCCATCAAACAGGAATGGGAACCAAATTAGTAATTTTCATTGTAATTGTAGTTGTGTTATCCTAAATATAAAGGACATACTTCCTTTTTCACACAAAGATCTAGTGTATCTGGCGAATAAACACTGGTCTAACAAAAAAAAATATTAAAAAATCCTATGTGTCTTTGGAATTTAGAGAAGAATAAATGAATAAAGTGTTATGTACAAAGCAGTTAACTCAAAAAAATCATATTGGTGAATAAACCACTTCAAAAATATGTTTTTCAATATATTATTTGTCGATATAAATACATTTTTACCATAAGATGTCTGAATTTTTCTATCATTTGTAGGCGTAAAGGGAACAATAATCTGTGTAAAGTGAATTAGGTTCCTCACGCTTGAAGCATCAACACGTCCGCACGCAACCGTGTCCATCACACTAATGACTGTAACGTGATAAATGACGCGAGTTAATAGACTACCCGCATGTAAAGCATTATTATGATATAAGAAGTTCCGTGTCTAGGATGCAAGTTCGCGGGCGGTCGCTTGTAAGTAATGGTTGCACCCACCGTTACCGCCGACAAGACTAATAACTCGCTAATAGAACCAGTCTTATTATTGATGAATACATTAACCAATCTACATTTAACAATATATTGCGGTAACTCATTTAGTATTTAAATGCGCTAGTAACTTTTCTAGTTTCTCAATACATTTTTGCAATAAACTATTTTTATCTAACATTTACCTCAGAATTTATACACATAAACCTTAAATACTATCTGTAGTTTATAGGAGTAGTACACATTTAAATAAAATACTATAACGTTTAAAACGGATTTTAGTTAGACTTGTGAGAATTATTTTTAACTACGGCCCGACGTTTCAGATGCTTTGCAGCAGCCGTGGTCACGGGGAGACCCGTCTGCTAAATAATTTTCAAACAAGTTGAACTAAAATATATCGTGTTTTAAAACGTTAAAGTGTTTTATTTAAACACGTAAACATTAAAATTTAATCCCTAATTGTATTTTGAAATAGGTACATTTTTTAATCATTAATATATTTGGTAATTGTGTAAATAATTTTTTAAAATTTAAAAAATTTAAAAATATACAATGATATGTAACATGAAAACGTTAACCCGAAATGTATAATATACGAATATTATTTGAAATCTATCAGCCATTAAAGCTTATTTCGATAAATGTAATTCATTCAAACTCAACTGACTCAACGAAATAATCGATAACCAATATTTCGAGAACAATATAAATACGTTCCCTAAACAATTACATCGACGACTGACAAATGGGTAAACAGAGGTAATAATATTTAATGGGACTGTTAGAATCGTTTTGTTCCACGTTCAAAATGGTTAGCTATTTTGTAATCTTATGAGCACAGTATACTACTGTTGTCTGAGCTTTTGCGCCCACGCATTGGACAATTAACTTAACGTAAAAGGGAAAAGCTCATTGGATTGAACATTGTTCACAACGCAGAAATAATGTTTTAGTATTAGAAACTCAAGAGTGGTATTTGCTTAGTTTATCACTCTTTATTAATAAGAGAAATCATGACTTCCACTTTAGCGTATGTGACAGGCACGTTTCTATGTTTGTTACAATGATTCCTTATTTCAGGCAAAGAATCGTTCTGACTTCTACCTGCCGCCTTTTTATTTCACCTTTGATCAATAGAACCCCATGCTTTTCTGTTCTTCTCTATCATAAAAAAAGAAATAAGAATGTTATAAATTCTTAAGCCTTCTTTTTTTTACTTCTGACCGCCTTTGTAGCCAAATGGTTTAACGTATTACCTAGCATTGTGTTAAGCGAGTTTCACACACCATTCTTTTTATATACGAGGATCAATGTCTAACAATATCCAGACCAATATATTGATAGAATTCTTAATTTAAACAGTATAATACAAGGAGCTGTTCAATACTAAAATAAACGTTAAGCTGGCATTTGTAAATCCATCAGTAAGCGTCGATCCCGCCTCCATACGGCACACGAATCCAGGGGCTTAACTTCTGTCTGCTAGTGGGCTCAGTCTTCATCCAACCTATTTTACTATAACCTATTTTATTCATAATATTTATTTACTAAAAAGTATTAATTTAAATAATATAGACCAAAAATATGTTTTATTTTTATTTTTTATCAACATAAAGTCCATTTGTTTTTTTACTGGCGGAAACAAGTAGACAAGTTTTAAAACCGGCTTTAAAAAAAGTTAATTCTTCTGCTATGTAACTATTTGGGTTCAATCTTGCTTATTATATTAGCACTAAGCATATTTCATATTTTTTCTTATATTTGATTATAGCATGAAGATATATTAAGGCTAGCTACGTTACGAAATAAGAACTGATTGTTGAACTCAACTTTCCACTTTTCCAACGTGAAAACTTTTCTCTTTGGCGAAATTGATTCCGGAGCTTACCAATACTTTGTTCAAGTGCAGGTTTAGTGTTTAAATTGGATTGAAGATTTCCAGTATATTGTTGATAGTAGTTAATCTCTAAGTGTATATATAAGTTAAATAAACCTTTTTAATAGTTTTAGACACAAAATATTTTTTTTTATTTTAGCTACGACCCCATGTTTGACCCAAGAGCAATCACTGTGATAAAAGTTTAATTGTTCATTCATACAAGGAAGCTTTTTCATAAGAGAGAAATTCTATTCTACAACTTTATGTATAACTCGAATATAAATAGGTGCATGTATATTGTCAGCAGCATCATCAGTAGCTGTAAGCCCCTCGGATCTAACTCCACCGTCGCGATCTGTCCCATGCTTCTAGTTTTTGGACGCCCAGATTACCAGGTCCTTAGTAACTCCATCCCACCAAAGGAGCCTCGGTCTCCCGGGCTTTCGTTTATCACCTGGTTGCGAGTTCAGCAAGGACCTTGGTGACATTTCATCTGTCCTCCATTCTGTGTACATGTCCTAGCCACTTAAGTCTGTTGCTTTTAATGAATTGGACGATAATGTCGTCGCCAATAGTGTTCTCAATATATTTTGTTCTTCGTTATATCGGCCTCGCCAAACACCGTCGACACAGACGGGGCCAAAGATCTTCTGAGTATGTCAGCATAGTGACGTTAATTTATACCATAAATATACTCAATTAATGTTTAAAAACTTACCATCTATACAAAAATCTCAGTTGAAGTCAAAATCCATGACTAAATTATTGCAGTTCGGTGCACAACAAAAGTTCCGGTAGATCTGAGCTTCCAGCCACAGAGCAACGAAACCATGCACCCGATACTATCATTCACTGTCATAATATTCTCGGAGCCATATATCAAGTCGATATCACAGTGGGATCGCTTAATACTCGCCACTCCGCAGTGCAGCCGGGACTTGGTGCTGAACGACCGACGTGAGGTAATTCAGTTAACCCGTCGCTGCGGCACGTCGCGATCGTAATTGTTTTACCTGAACACTTCAGAACGCGGGACAAAGGGACCCTCATGAAGCACTCACATTTGATTTTAACACTTTTTGGACATTTCGTACATAGAATTAAAAGGATTCTTATTTTTATAATGGTAGCAATGTAAGTGTAATTGAATTTCAGTCGCAGTCTGTGGTTGTCTGTATTACCAAAGCCAAAATAGGTCGGCAATGTTTTTTTTAGATGTTACATGGCTTGGGTATTTTACTTTCCATCAAGTGATGTCTCGTCTATCCTTTGTCATAGATAAATAGATTTTCTATGTACTCACTGCTCGGTTCTTTTAAATTAAGTGATAATTATTATTAAACAAAAACTTAAAATACTTTTTCTAAAGTGCAATATTGTATAATTTCATCATCTGTCTGTCTTAATCAATATTTTCATATATGCATCCTCTATTTAGGGGACGTCAGTACGATAAAATCAGCTCATCATTTATAGTAAATTTAAGTAATACTATCTTTACTGTTTTAATTACAATATCAACGTTTACAACTCATAATAATTTTAGATGGCCAAAAATGTTCACATTTGAAAAAACTTAAAGGTTATATTCACTATCATGTTGCACGGGGGCCGAAACTTTGGACCGTAGTTAAATACAAATTTCAAATAAGTTTACTAGTATATCGCGATTAAACGTCAAATTTTTTTAAATAAAACAGTTACCAACTGTTTAAAAATCTATCTGCTTAATATGATTTGTAGGATGCCTATTTAAATTTAAGGAAGACCGTTAGATCACTTAAATATTTTAAATAGGTTTTACATTTATATTTACCGACGTCTATTGTATTATCATTTTAATAACACTATGATGCATAATTTTTAAATTTAGAGAATTACTATTGTTTGAATTATGTAAAAAAAACTACAACACGTAAGCGGGAATAAGCCTTGAGCCATACGCCCCCGGCATCCATATAGATTCCTTAGTTAAATGAAGAACTTTTTGATCTCAAAAAAAACAAATGGACTTGACCAGCATCACATAGCCAGTTAGAACAGTTTTTTCTAGACAAATGTATGTAATGTAGTATTATACATCAAACATCTAGCTGCAGTAACTCAATTACTGCAATGTACGGCTAAACCGCCGTGTCACGGCAGACGCCCTGCAAAGTGTATGGAGCTTGTATGGGGGCATAATTGGAAGTGTCTGTTCTAATGTGGAGGGGACATACAGGTGAGTCGTGACTCGTGAGCCGTGCCGACATGCAAGTTGCGGCTGATTCGATTGTCGGCTCAGAGATGCAACTCTGCCTAATTCGCTTAACACCGCGTCGTCTGGCTCCTGCACTATATATAGGCACGGTCCTACTCAGCAGTTTGCCTACGATACGCGGCTTAGGTATAAAATACTTAAGCGCGCTAACAATCTATGAAAAATGAACAGTTTTTTAACTGTAATATTTTTCACATGTTATGCACTAATGAATTAAATTTAATCTATTTAGATTGAAAAAAAAATTAAGACACGAGCGGGACTTGAAATAACGTCCGAAGCGTTCCGTTCAGCTGCTGTAACCAGACGGTAGCTAAATGTAGGTAAATGGTTAAAATATTTTTTTCTGAATCCTGAAGAGAGTGTCACCGTATTTAAATACCTATTTCTTATTTATATTAAATTTTACTGTGCCTTTTTTATCAAAATGGCTTCAATACCTCCTCTCGTATTATACCTGTATGTATGTTAAAGTGTTTATTGCGTATTGGCAATCTTTAAAAATAAATAATTAACGGTTTAAAACGCGAAATATACTATTGCGCTTATATTAAACTAAACGAGATGTCGGATATTCAGCAGTGGTAATCACAGTTGACAGTTTTAAACCGACATAGTATTTAACATATATTATTTACTTCTTACGTAATTTTAAATCATAGCCAAATAGAATTTTCACTTTGTACCTACTAAATATGTGAACGAGATAATTTTTGTTAACGTTATTTAACATGACAAATTACTAATAATTCTACATTAATAGTCTGCTGTGTGCAATTAATTTAGCTGATATAATAGTGATATTCGTAAATAGTGGTTCATTATTTAGTTAGTGGAGAGCACTCGATCGGGATCGGTTTACATTTGGACTTATTGATTTTATCCGCGTCCCTGAACACGTACCGTACACGGACACCAATTATTAAGTCAAACACACAACAATGAGATTTAATTATATGATGCACTTTGCTCTCCACACACAGACGAACAACACAGACGGTCTGTACACAGTGATCGTTTGTCTCAAAGTTTTTAGCCTGTCAATACGTATTAACTATCATATCTTTTGGTATATGTGACAATTCTAATTCTAATTATCATAAAGAGAAATATTGTAAAATAAAAACCTATTCACATTGAAAAAAAAACGACGACTCGGACGGGACGTGAACCGGCGTCCACAGCGCTCAGTGCTGCTCTAATATTTGAGCTTCCGCGTCAATAATGTGCCATAATAACATAACAAACATGTGAAAAATGAGGTTCAAAGTCTAAGTATCCTTCTTCTTATAGATCATCACTGTGGATTTCTGATGCGTATGCTGCGAAAACGCTTCAAGACACCCAAAAAATATGTATAAAAGAATTATTCCTCTTTAAATGATCTAAAAAATATATTTTCGTAAAAAAAGGAAACCTTAGTACTAGATATGCTTCATTCACAAACTCAACTATATATTAAAAGTTTAGTTTTATCTCATACAAGTTTACTGGTATTAATTTTAAGCTTTACCATGCTCATAGAACTATACTAATCTACACAAAGCGGCTGTTTACGTTAGAAAAAACGGGAGCGGGTAGCCCGCAGACTTAAATATTTCTTTAACACTTTAGTATTCCGTCGGGCACCGTAGTGTCGCCGTCCTCGTATTTCGAACCCGAAATCAGTGAAATAGGGTTGTTTAAAATTCTGCGATCAGCCACAATGTAAGAAAGGCTTCTTTTATGGTCACTTGTAAATACTGAAGGACGGTTTTGTCCCAAAATCGACAATCTGAACACGTCCGGCGCGAACCAACATGCTTTGAATATTTCCAAGCGTTTTATTTATGTTTAATATTTTGACTAAAATAGTCTTCTCTTTCAAAGAGTGATTTTAAAACAAGTTCATTAAAATAATATCGATATTAAAGCTGACAAATCGTTAAAACATTAATTTTGTAATAAATAAAAATAAAATGAAATATAAACTTCTAAACGTAACGATTTAATACGCGATATGTATTATTAAATTTATTTGAAAATTGTTTTACTACAGTCCAATTTTTCTGCTGCCGCAGCAGCCAAAATGCTACTTTTACTTTAATATATTATAAAAGTAGTATAAAGTCAACCGTTAAAGGCTGTGTCTATTTAAATGTGTACTACCCCCGTAAACTACAGACAGATTACATAGATTCATGGTTTTTAACCTACCTCATGGTTATTTTTGACTTAAATTTTGTAACTTTCCATGCTACTGGAAAAATAAGTTTTTCTTTTTAATTTTATGATAAAAAAAGATTTACTTATACCTTAATATTACACAAAACCCGTCTCATCCTGCGGATGCCATCAAAAGAAATAAGAATTCTCCGAAAACAATTTGTCATTCAATTAGCTTCGAATCAAGTTAAATAAATACGTAAGGCTATAGTCTGCTATTAACGCTATACGCCGCTGTAATGCTTTACGCTGCGTGATAATATAAAATGGGGTTCTTTCATTTTACGCTGTTTTGCGTATTATTGTATAGTATAGTTGAAGGTAGCTCTATTTGTTGACTACTCTTTGTGAATAAGACGTCGTCTTTACTCATGGAAAGTATTCACCAATCTAATAAACTACTAGCATAGTGTTAATTGGAGACCGCTGCTTTATATTTTCTCTTGAGCGAAAAAGTTTCTGAATGCGCGACATCTGATCGCTGAGCGGATGTCATCGATTTGGGTATAATTTATCGCTCCGTCACAATCATTCAAGTTTTTTTGGTTTAATATTATCTTATGATTTTACAAGTCGAATACCATTTATACTGTAAAATGTGTTAAAATCAAGCCTGAGTCACTTATAGCAACTGTAATGAGTGGTTTTTAGACTACTAAAATAAAACACTTTAACGGTTTAAAACGCGACATTAATTAAAATTACTTTAACTACGTCCCGACGTTTCGGATGCTTTGCAGCAACTGTGGTCACGGGGAGAATAAAATGTAACTAACAAATTTCGAAAGCACCGAATCGCCGGGTATTATATATTTTGCGTTTAAACTCTGGAAACTATATACAATGCTTCGTAACAGTTCATCAGGATCGCGAGTGAGATATAAATCGTCAAGTTTAATAGTTTAGTCGTTCCGCAATCCAATTTGCTCGTAGATATTTTACGCGTCGCCCACGTCTTCTAATGTATTCGATAACTTGCGAGACATTACTTCATCCGGCGCCCGATCGTAAATATCTTTCGATGCCGTACGCTACAATATCCCGGTTGTTATTCGGGATCTACGGCCTATCGGAGGCGTTGTTAATTTTGGACTGATGCCCGCGCCGTTGAATGGTTCAAATACGTTTTAACTTTGCTGTGCTTTGATGTATGAAGAACAGGCACAGAAATGTCTCCATTATGTTAAGGAAAAATAAATTCATTCCAAAAAATACAATTAACAATTTTTTTATGATAGAAAAGAAAAAAATGTTAGGTTCCGAAACGCGATTAAACTATTTAAATAAAACAATTTTAACGGTTTAAAACGCGATATATTAGTTAACTTTTGCAGCAGCCGTGGTCACGGTGAGACCACAGCTGCTGCAAAGCATCCGAAGTTAAAAATCATTTTCAAATAAGTTTAACTCATATATCGCGTTTTAAACCGTTAAAGTGTTTTATTTAAATGTGTACTACTCGCGTAAACTATAGGCGATTAAACTATTTTTCACGGC